CAATTCTGTAACATTAGAAGGTCACACCGAGACGCTCTGTGATGTTTTCCAGTCACTCTGTGCTGCTTTCCTTTTGCAAAATGGGACAAGTTTAGGAGTTTGGTTAACTCCTCAAGCCCACTGCCTCTATTGTTATGCGTTACTCCATGAAGATGACACCAAAAACTAGGCAAACACTAAAATACTGAGAGAGGTCTAGTGCTACCGTATTCCAGACCAAGAAGAGATGCTGGACATTCAATTGAGAAATTTGCATAAGACTTCTAAATTTGAGAGATGGAGATTGTCAAAGAGGAGAAAGCTTTTTTATGAAGAGGAAAAGGAGGTAGTTAGCCATGTGTTTCAAGCCAGGGAAAAAAGGCAGAGAAGAGTGGCCCTGTGTAGCCTAATTCAGAGATGCATAAGCCTTTGTGAGTAACATCTCACTTCATAGTATCACATCAGATACTATGAAGTACTTCAACTCTACCCTACTTCTGTGAAGAGGAACTTACTTTACATTTGATCATCCTGGGATACATTGTTCATTTGAATGGGAACCGACTGGCTTGGGTTTGCAGAGAGGTGAGGACCATTGGACTAATTAAGTCAGAAAAAAATGAGTAGATGCAAGCCATCTTTAATCTACATGAACGGAGATTTGCAGGAGTGTAGAGACCAGAGAATTCAGTGGAATTATGCAACAGTAGGAAGCAAACAAGCAAGGGATTTTAACATGAGCAAGCATTTCTTAGGGCCCTTTAGCAATGATGTTTAGGTCATAAAAAGACATTTTTTATGGAGAGATAACTATGAAAAGTAAATCCAGAGGTCTAGCAGGACATAACACTGCATCCCTATGGAGATTTAGGGCCCCTTTGTGGTTCACAGATCAGGAAATGATCACTTAATCTGTTCCCAGCTAATGAGGACAGGGATTGCTCTTCAAGTTAAGCCCATGCTATCAATGGTGGCTTCAGAGAAAAAGGAAAATACTTGATGTTTAAGAAGGGAAGGCCCTCATTTCCCTGCAGTTAGGCTATTTCTTTTTAAATAAATTTCAGACAAAAAATTTTTTAAAATGTAGCATTAGCCTTAAATGCTACATTACTTTTTGCAGAATGAAGAAAAAAGCCCTATATTTGAAATCCTGAGTTGAACAATTTAAGCTTGAGATGAAAACATCGAGGTCCCTTGAAGCGCTATACTCAACCACCTCTGTGTACATTTGCCAGCATTTGAAATCAGTCTTATGTAGGATGACATAGAAAGTCGCATCAAATCAGCCTTTGAGCCACTCACTCAATACCCCCAGAAGAGAAAGAAGCTTTAACCAGCTAAGCAGGCTTCTAGTTAGGCCATGGGACAAAAATCTTCTCGTACTTCTTTAGAAACATAACACTGGAAAGGACCCCAGGGTGATCTAATCCAGTTACTTAACAATTACTCACTAACAAAACGCTCGCTAACAGTTATCCGCCCCAAATTATTCATGGCCTATTCCCCTTCACTCGTGTGCCAGTCTTGTCTTTTACCATAAATAGCTGTTCTCCTGCTCTCCTTTCTGCCTATCCCAATATATTTAGAGAGATCAGTCATATGTTGTCTCAACTTTTATTTTGCTAGGCTTGTGACCATTTTGAACAAGTCAGAGAAGAATCGCTTTATAGTTTGTTTTTTGAGCCTAGGAATCTTGTGTGGGCTGCACACATGTCTGGACGGACAGAAGAGATGTGTTCTTCACTCAGTAATGTTTTTATTGGGCCTGAACTAGAGCAATGTGGTGAGCTTTCCAGTTGTAAAATGCATTAATGTTTCTTCTAGAAATGTAAGTGAACCTACAGAAGCCTACCAAAAGCAACCGTTCTTTCGCAGTCCAACCTCTACCTTCTTAGGCTACTTTTGTACTCGTGCGGTTTTTGGGAAAACCTAAGCGGTGTGTATGTGCAACATTTTTGCTCTGCAAGAGAAACCGTGCGTTCTACTATTTTTAATGGCAACGTTTCCAGTGTGGACATGTGCTCATTAAGAAACATCATTCAAGTGGCAAGAGTGCTGTTAGATTATCTTACCAGTTTCTGGGTCAGTCCTGGAGGAGCCCACTCATACGTTATAGTGTCAAACGTCGGGTCTTTCCGAGACACAATAGGGTTGGTGATGATCATGCGATTCCTTTTGTAGATACGAACTCCATCCCCACCTTTCACCCTGGCGGTGAGTGTAGAGTACTTTGACTCTGATAACAAGCGGCCAATTTTCCGGTCGTCTTCTGCATCAGAGCTGAGGCTGTGATCTTCCTGGTTACATTTGCACGACTTGCATATTTTCCTGTGGGTGACAAGTGAGATCATCCTTTTGGTATAAGCTGGACCTCAGTAGGCATGTGCTCTTTCAAAGGCTCAACGCTGAACTTTAGTAACTTGAAAGGTTAAATATCAAATCAGACTGTGACACTAGACAAAAGGCTTTTGTGATGCCACAGCTCTGTTTGGGAATTCAGCATGATATGCCTTGAAGGAATTTGCAGCGGTGTGGAATATAAAACTTACTGCCCTCCCTGGCGAAAGCAGCAGATATACAGTAACAGCACACACCAATCAACTGTTCCTTCTAACCTGCTGTGACTGAGCAGTCAGTTTCCATGCACTTTTAAGGGATTTTTAATCTCAAGGCAGTACAGGTCTTCAATATTAAAGTGTTAGCCTTTGTTACTAAGGTAGCTCTTGGAGAAGAGTAGCACTTTCATTATACTAATCCCTATAAAAATAATAGAGCGCCATGCTGCTGTTTCTTGGTAGAGATTTTAAAGCAGCTATAAAAGGAAAAATGGGTTAAGCTCATTGTTAGTGTCTTGCCAATGACTGAGGAATTTCACATCAGTCATTTCATTGATAATTTCGCCTGTAGTTGGCAAATCAGTTGGAAAACCAAAGTGGTGACTCAACTGAATTTCAAAACTCTGTATGCATCCTCAGTGCTGAAGTCAAGAACTCAAGGCTGTATAGAGCAAAGTTAGAGACCATATTCGTGACATCTACTGTATTATTTAAGCATAAGTAACACGTCTATGGTGGGTGAAGTGTGCAGTACTTGAGTGCACAAATGCAACAGCGTACTAAGCTGCAACATTTCTTGCAAGAACCCAAGGCAGAATTGTTGGATTCATAAAGGAGACAGCTGCATAGTTTATTAGTGTATCCGCTAGATTTGAACTCTGTTCAACTAGCAGAGAGATGCACCGGCTATAAATGTTTAGTTTTTCTTTTGGTTTTAAGTTATGTCACTTTTATATCATTCAGGATACGAGGAAGTGAGTAACTGTTCATTAGTTTACTATCTGCTTTGCTTAATTAGGTCTCAATAGGGGTGTATTTAGATAGAGCTGTTAGACATTGATATTGTAATGGATATTTGCCCAAAGCTTTTTCTTTTTAAAGTAAAATATTGAATAAAGTGTCTGGAAACAAGATCTAGTTCTGGCACTAAACATCTTGTTATGCTGCAACAGACTACTTAGAGAAGTTATAAATCCTTGTCACTAGAAATTTAATTGTAGGATAAATACAATAGCATTTCAGTGAAAAGTAGATTTAGGATAGCTAATGCCAACATATACACTTCAATTGCTAATGTGAGGTGCAAGTGTTGCTAACTTCCTGGAAAACAAAACGCTTTAAACCACTGCTCTCCCCTTCCCCCAACCATTACCCTGGTATCATCAAGGACAGAAGTGACAGCGACACAGCGCATGTTGGAACACTTCTTCAGGAAGCATGCAGTCATCCTTTTGGTTCAGACCTCCCTGCACAGACAGTGAGCAGTGGCATACAGCATTTTCTTCTTTTTTAAAAGTAGTTTTCAAATCATTAGGGCTGCAGCCCCAGGTATGGCCCACAGGATCTGCATTTCAGTAAATAAACCCATATGCAGTGCATCAGGTGGCTAACTTCTGAGTGGAGAGCATAATTACTTTGGCACCATGCCCCCTCCTGCTGTACCACTAAAGAGCATCAAGCATGTGTCTGCTGTTTTGCAGTTGGCAGATACCATGAGAGGATGTTGGCTCTTTCAGCTGCTTCGCCAAGTTAGGAGGCAACAAGCTGTGCCACGGTAGGACAAAGAAAGTCCACCCCCATTTAGTATCAATGGATTCTCACCCTTGTCCCCACCCCCCAGGCGATGTCAAGGCAAAAATGAATCATTTCATTTACACAATTAGAAGCATTACGCAGCCTTCAAAACAGAATCTGTCCTGGGACTTAAAAGGCATCTAAAAACCTGTCCAGAAAATCCATTGCACAGCACAATCATGTCTTGCGAGCAGTGAGGCATGGATTCGTTTTGAGGAATGCAAGCTTGCTGAGTCTGCTTTTACACCTGAACTTACATTTTATGTCGAGTTTGGCTTAGCTCAGACCCTGCTGCGTCATGGACCCTAGTGTCACAATCCAGGTTTTTCTAGGGGAGGGATACTGGAGTTTGAAAGTTGCCTGGCTCACAGGCAGTAAGTTATATGAAGCTGCAGAGTCAGAGCCAGTAGATCGGTGCCCTTGTGGAATTCATAGCAAATAAAGACATGCCCCATCTCCGTTAAGTGAGTACCTGAGAGCCAAGGCTAAACAGCTGTTTAGGTACCCGACTCCTGCCGAAATCAATGGGAGTTTAGCATCCAGGATTGGTCCCTAAGCCCATCCCAGGAGCTCTCTCTCTCCTTGCCAGTCTGCAGAACAAATAGCTGTATTAATTCTAAGGTAGGTTTTTTTGGGTGTGGAAGTTTGATACAGCTCCAAATGCGTCAAGATCTGCAGTCATCTGCTGGAACCAATCCAGAGCCTGTGGTCTGGTGACAGATGCTTCTCCCATACTCCTGGCTGGGGGAAGGATCAGGGGTTTTAAAATAAAACAATGTGTTGGGTTTTTTTTTTTGGATATGTTATTTGTTATTATTTGGTTTCCCCTCATTTTCCTGTTTCCCCTCCCTTCCTAAAGACCCTAATGGTATGACTGGGATCTCAGGGACTTCTCTCAAGTATAGTATTAAACGTAGGATTTTACCCTGAACAAAGAGCGACTATGGGGTATGTTTACACTGCAGTCACCCGAGTGTTGCATCTGAGTTTCCTTTATCTCAGATGGCTTCGCAGCCTAGATGCAGCAGCAATTTGCTTCCCACCCCTCCATAAAGCAGGACAGGAATGCTCAGGTTATCCGAACTCCATGTTGCAACGGATAGATTGTAGCAGGACCAGTTTAAAGGCCCTTTAACAAGAGTTAGATGAATAAGCAAGCATTATTGCATATACCAATGCATCGCTGTTTCTCCTTGTTATAATGCTTGAACTCTACCGGCAATCATGTCAGTGAAAGGGGAAGAAGGGGCTAATAAATCACAATAGTGCACTAGATTAACATAGTACGGACTCAGAAATCCTCTGCCAGTGTTGTTTCACCTATGGCATATTGACACAGTGCTTTGTGAATTTTGGGAGGCACCCAAATCAAAAAAATTAGCCTGTTAAAAGTCTATTTTCCTTTGTCTTGCAGGGCTTAAAAGGCAGACAGGATAGTCTTACAGATTTAATATTCAGTTCATTGTATTAACAGCAGGCAGTCGCTCCACAGCTGTTAGAAGGGATTCTTGGCTCCAAAGCAGCTATAATGTAGATGAAGCAGAGGATTTGTTATTTGTGTAAGATGATGTATCACTTAGGCTTATAGTAATGGTTGGAGTATCCTCCCATCCGTCATCCAAATATCACTTTGAAAATAGTCCTAGGTAATGCCATATCTTCAAACACTGTGCGTGGAATAAAGCTGTTTCTGTCTTTTAGAAGCAGACTGTAAAGGCACCTATAAACGGAGCATCAGTTCCTCACAATGAAGATATCATTTGCATGAAAAATGCATTCTTGAAACAAAGAATGAACTAAACAGATCCAGTTCTGTGTGACTGTTGCCAGTGACCTCCCACTAATACTGAGAAGGGAAAAAAATGAGGGGGAAGAATAGGATTTTTAAGAAGCCTATTCATTCTCTCTTGATCGTGGCTACCCACAACTTGCAGCAGTCTCAAGTCTCAGGGCTTGTTGTGCCAGCCGCCCATGGCCAGTCTAAGAGAAGACTGTCAAACAAATCACAGGCATGTCCAGACCATACACCCCACACTAGGAGCTCTGCGTGTGGTATGGGACAGCAGAAGAGGAGTCAAGCTTGTCAACACACAACAAACATTTTCTACGGAAAAAAAAGTTTTTCATGACAAAACGTTTGTTTTTTCCATGAAAATGCTGGGATTCTTCTTTTTAAGAAAAAAAACAATGTGCTGAAAGGGTTTTTTGGGAAATTAAGGGTAGGGGGAAAGTTTGCTATTTGCCCCTTTTGTCCTTAGAGTGAGGCTGGGAAGTGGTGGCTAGAAAGTGGTATTTAGAGGTTTGCTTTTGGGAATTGGCTTATAGGTAAGATATATATGCATTAGAGCAATAGTTCAGGGTGGCAGCAAGGGCTAATTGATTTCGAAAGGCCTGGTCACGCAGCACTCGCAGCTTTTAAGGCAGACAGGGTGTCTAACGCAAGGCCAATGGATATGCACATAGCCTGGGAAACTGTGGGCACATACCACGCTGTTCTATACCGTGAGATAAAGTGGCACCAGCTCACAAGACCTCAAAGTGGGGGCCTGAGAGTTTTAGTTTTGGGGGAACAGACCAAATTAAGAGAAGACCTGGAAAGCCCAAATTCGGATGTGTGCATGTGATTGGCATGTGAAACAGAGGAGTATGCTGACAGGACAGAACGTGGACGGGATGACGACCACAGAGAGACCATTCATCGGTAGCCACAGATGAGAAGCCATCAGGAGGGGAAAAGAATAAAGAAATAGAGACTTTAGAGCAACAGGGGGGTCCCCATCCCCAAGAGGGGAACCTGAGGCACATGGACTGAGGGCATACCACCAGCCTATATCTCATCCATGCCACTGGGGAGGTGGGGGGGGCGGCTTCGGCCTCTGACTTCCAGGCTGCTGACATCTGACATTCAAGACAGAACCTCAGAGGGAAGCTCACATCCTGACCAGATGAACCTTGACTCTGATGACAGCCTTAGGGTTGGTAGCTATAGAATTGCTTGTATTATTTTTGTTTCCTGTTATCACTGTGCATCAATAAATTTGCCTATTATCTAGTGGAAGGGTCGTGGTTGGTCTGTGGGTTTTGGGTCCCCCCAGAACATGGCCTCTGGGTCCTAAATCCAGTGTCAACAAGAAGGAAACATTTTTGGCAAATTGGAAAAATCTTGTGAAAATCCTCATTTTGAGACAGTTAAAACGCTTTTCCATTTCAAAAACATATCTTCAGAGCCACCATAGCAGTTGTTACATTTCCAGGATACATCCTTATCCAGGAGAAGAACTAAAACAGCTGACCTGCCATAGCACCTGCAGGCGCCCAATAAAGAAATAAACACGATGGAGAATTAACGAGAAGAGTTAAGTCATTACTCCCAGGATTTTTTTTTCCAGAGATATTTTTTACTGTAGTTCTTTTGGGAGAGGATTAGCTACAGAAAAAGGAAAAAAAAAAGAGATGGAAAGAGAGACAGGAGAAGGTCCCAGAACTGGCTCTAGCCCTTATTGATTTCCCTTGTTCTGCAACTTTGCAAGAGCTACATAGCTAAAACACTTACCAATTCTCCTCTGCATTGAAGACTATGGGAAATAGCATACAGAGAAATCCTAGAGACACATTGAAAGGCAGAGCCCAAACAGAAGATGAATTACCTCCAAGAATGTGGCTCAAAGCCTGTACACATCCCTCTGCATCGTAAACAGGGCGCACCTCTTCCTGACTGCTGCTGGCTTACAGACATCTGGAAGGGAAAACAGAAAAAAAATGGTTCTTTTTAGTTTTTAAGAGAAAAAGCAAAGGATCCTGGGCTCATGTTCCTTTATTGTATATTGTTTTTGAAGCATGTTGAATCCTTTACAACTATCCCTTGTGCATTTTGAAAGTTCAAGGTAAGTCATGGAGTACAGTTGCCCAGTACTTGCAGTTGGTTTGCTCAAGAGTTCTGATCTTGAATGGACATAAGAAAGGGATATAGAGACCTCTTTATGCTCTCTGTCAGTACTTCCATCATCCATTATAAATGAAGAACACTGGACTAGAAGTTTCACTTTAATCAGTTGATCCCACCAAGCATCAATCCAGCTGGGGACTTTGGGCCAAAGCTAAGCTTCAGGCTTTTCCCTACCACATCACTAAAAACAAGCATTAGAGTGCAGTTGGTCAATTTTAAGCAAGTTATTACACTGTGTATAAAGGCAGATATCTTGCATCCAGCCTGCTGTCAGGACAGGCAAATGATTTTCGTTGAATTGATCAGGTTGTGGGCTGTGTTTGATAAAGTTGCAACTATACAAGCCGGGAGCTGGGCAACCACAGCCTGTGATACTTTTATGTGGACAGAATCTCAGCAGGACTCGAGGAGCTAAATTCAGTGCCAACTTTTATACTCTCTGAAAACTGAATGAAGGCAATATAGATGCATGATATACCAGAACTGCATTAAGAATCTTTCTCCTTTAGCCAATAGAAAGAATGCTTCCCACCCAACCACATTTTTCTTGGTAGTTTATTTTCAACATGGGAACAATTATTCATTACTATAGCTGCGTGCATTGTAGCTGACTACGGCTTTTTCTCTCCAGCTTGGCTGGCCATGTTATTTGCCCAAAAAACTGTAGGTTCAAAGCCAATGCCCTGTATGAGCAGATTTTTTTTTTATTTTTAAATGAAAACCTGACACATCACTTAGGGCCTCTCCCTCCAGTTTGCTTCTTCCATCTTCACCTGGCTCACTACTCTGGTTGTTCAAGTTATATAGACAAGTGCAGCTCCATATGCTACCTTTCCCTGGGTGATGCTCTTAGTCCACTCAGCCCCCCTGGCTGAGAAGCACTGGCCTAGTACAGTGGTGGAGCTCTGATCTTAGTTGGGTTCTCTACAAACCTGCCAAAGGGCAAGAACACGCCTCTCCCTACTGAAATCAGAAAATAAATGTATTTTCTTCTAATATAAATGTATGCTCCTGTATATATAACACATTCACTTGGTGGCATCTTTTTCTCCAATAAGACTAGAAGCGAATGAGCCTATTACTTGGTAGGATTATTTACATCTCATGCAAGCCCCTCATTTTCAATCACAATTGAACTCCAGGCAAAGAAGGAATTTTCAGGTTTTTGTTCAGGTTCTCACTCGCGGCTATTTTCTGGTGTTTTCTAGCGTGCTTTTTTTGTAGAGTTGGCAACCAATATTTTCCTTCATCGCATAAGGATACTCTATTTCTGCATATGCTTGCATGAGAATTTGATTTTCCAACTGGATACAGCGGCAACACCAGCAAGCAGTGAAAGATTGAGATGCATGGTTGTGACTCAGTACTAAAGCTCATTCATTGGTATGTAGATTTCCTTGTACAGAAACTCAAATGTATTTTGAGAATGTGGCATGTTTCCACATTTTGGGTGTTATGTTTTATGGATGGTTTCCATGGTGAACAGGAAACATGGTGGGGGGAAGAAATAAAGGGCCCCGGGGAGGAAAGGCAAAGAAAAAGAAGTGTGACTGTGCTGCACATTGTGCTTTTCATTCAAGACAGACAGTCTAAATATAGATGTGGGAGCCCATGGCTGTACATGGAAGGTGCTGTCAAAATGGTAGTCTCAAAATGAAAGAGAGAGACCAGTCTGCGATCATTTGTTGATTAAAAAAAAAAAGCCAATAAGATTATTAGTGCTTTTGCAGTGAAGATTTATCAAACATGACTACTTGAATTTAAAGAATGTAAAATGCATGACAGGTGCCAAGAACGAAGCAGTTCCAGAGGAAATATTATGGAGAAATGATACCCTGGAATGCTGAATTTATAATCAGGCTTGTCAGTTCTAACAGCCCTCGAAACTTTCTCAGACTCTCAGCTCTTAAAAGACAGTTTGTCTGAACTGGCAGCAAGTCTGTAACAAACCAATTAAGAAATGTTCATAACTGGGTCGAGGCACTCTCTTTCCCAAATAACGATTTGATCGTAAATAAGGTTCAGCCCTGTGTTTTGTTCCATCTTGTCATTTTTGGACCCTCAGAGCTCACACCCAGTTCAGTATTTTTAAAAGTGACACTTGCTCACTGTCCCCTCTTGATCGTGAGCAATGCTGTCTGGCCAGTGACAGGAGATGTCTCAGTAGAGAGCCCAACTAAGATCAGAGCTCCACCACTGCACTAGGCCAGTGCTTCTCTGCCGGGGGGGGGGGGGGGGGGGGGGG